CCCAATCCCGTTTGTTTTTCTCTTTCAGACGAAAATTTGCACCAATCTTGCGCAATCTCGTGATATTTTAATATTACCTGCATTTTCAATTTTACTTTCGACATATTTTGACAGCACGTTGTAAAATGAATGACACTAAGGAAGAGAAAACCAAAGCGTGCGAGGAATTTAAGCAGAAATACAAATACATTTTTTACTAATAGTCATATAATTGGCAACAAGAAGTCAAGAGATGATATATATATATATATATATATATATATATATATATATATATATATATATATATATATATTCAGAGAAGCATAGATCCATCCAGCTCTTATCTCAAATAACAACTTAAAAGAGACTGTTTGACCAACACAAGGAATGTTAAAAGATTCATGTTAAAAAGATTAAAAAAAAAACAAATGAAAATTACTGACAAAAGTTCATTTTCTCCATCAAGACATTCATTTCTGTAGTTTACTGCTACCAGCAAGCAGAAATATTTCTTCTCCCGATGATAGCAATGTTGGCCGAAACTAGTCGAGGAATCTAAATGAAATAATAATAAGAAAAACGAAAGAATATTAATCTACAACTCAGTGTGTCTGAAGATTTTAATTTTTAATATTTTTTATTGTTCAATATATATATATATATATATATATATATATATATATATATATATATATATATTGACGTTCCACACTTATGTAGGTGTTGAGGTCTCACACTTATACACGCACTGACACAAATATCTACAGATAACGCTCACTCTTAAAGAACTAAAAGATAACATACCCTTTACACACACATTCCATTCCCAACAAGCAATAAGACTGTCAAAATGACCAGAGAGCAAATTCTTAGTCAGGAATCCGCCATTCTCTATCTTAAAAACAACCTGAAAGAAGCCGTTTGACCAACACAAGGTCTAACCAAAATTAACATTAAATACAGATGAAGTTCACTTTCTTCAGAAACAGTCATTCACTCCTAGAGTTTACTGCTACTAACAAGCAGGGATTTTTTTTATCCTGATGATGGCCAAACTGACCGAAACTAGTCGAGGCACTTCATTGAAATAATAAAACAAAAAATTATTAATATACAACCCAGTGTGTCTGAAAAAGTTAATTTTAATATTTTATTATTCAAAACACACACACACACACACACACACACACACACACACACACACACACACATATATATATATATATATATATATATATATAGAGATATATATATATAGAGAGAGAGAGAGAGAGAGAGAGAGAGAGTACGCAAAATATACACCGGGTGAAAGAGCAAAATTGTCCAAATCTTGTAACAGTAAAATTGTCCAACTGTTAGATTACGTTTGAACCGTTGTATCTTAGAAATGATTAAAGATACATTACTGGAATTCTGCGAAGTTTTATAACCCTATTGAACTCTACTTTGAACAATAACAATGTATAATTACCCTACAAGCTTAACAGAGGATTCGTGATGAAATCAATGATAAATGAAAATGAAATGTTCATCATTAATTAATCATAGTTAAGGATCGGAATCTCATGAAAGATTGAAATAAAGTTCATATATATATATATATATATATATATATATATATATATATATATATATGTTATTCCATGATCATTTTCCAACTTATTCAAGATGATTTTCACCCTCTCTAACTTTCTATCTTGGAGTGACAATGAGCCTCACAGGTTTCACGTGCGATGCCATTTTCAAGTCTTTTTTCACTGCTCTTTGAACTCTCAAAACTGTAACTTCCCTCTCAACTGACAAACATCTTATGGATCGAGTTGGATCTTTTCTAATTGCTTTCTTTATCTCTAAGTTGAAATGATGATCCCTCTTCCTGTTGTGACCTCCTGATCCAGTTTTCCTCTCTACTGTTGCATCTCTTTCAAACTTATTCATCGTTCACTTGATGGTTTTTTTTATGGACTTTAAAGATGAAGCCAGACACATCCTGCCATCGGTAAATAATTCACAGCCGGGGGAGGGTCATTTGGCGGCCTCGTGGCACAGGATATGAAACATTTCTCTGCGTTCGGCTCTTACAAAATATCTGGTAATATCGGTTATGATCAAATCATGGTGTGAACTCATACATCAAAAACGCTGGATTTGTCCAGTATATATATATATATATATATATATATATATATATATATATATATATATATATATATATATATATGTGAAAATGCATATATATATATGCAGATCAAACCATATTTATGAATAAGTATATTGGACAAACCACTACATTCATATCAAGAAGTCTCACATTACACCGCTCTGTGCAAAACTCAAAACTCAAGGACTCCTTAAGACACACACGGAAACCTAACGAACTCCACCCTCAAGTATAATACCCTCATTCACATGTAAACAAGACTAATAATATTTAAAACACTAATAATAAAAAAAATGAATAATATCAACTATGAACACGACCACAATGTGTTGATCGTGTTTGAAAAACAAACCAAACAAAAAGCATTCCCATAGAAGCATATATAAATATCTACGCATTCAGCTGAAAATTAAAAAAAATCTTGATATTGGCTAATAGAATAGCCAAAAGCGTTCAGATATATAGTATATTCGGAGAGCTTTTACACACTTTATGTCTAGAATAGAAATTACTTAAACGAACGCAAGAAAAATTGAATAAAATGCTTAATCGCAGTATCTTGTCAGTCGTCTTTAATAATAATAATATATATATATATATATATATATATATATATATATATATATATATATATATATATATATGTATGTAGATAAGCGGATATATATATATATATATATTACTGAGTATACATAATATGCCCCGTCGATAACATTACACTGAATTTCATGCAGGGATTCATGCATGGATAGGTGTGGATCCTGACCCCGTTATCTATCGTGTTCTCGTGATGATGATTCAAAATTCCGTATACAAACTTGTTTATTTAAAATATAGAATTAACTATTAATAATTTATATTGTTCAAATTTCGAATATTGTAGAATTAAAAATAATAATTAAAAATTAATTAAATTTGAATTTCGATTCGAAAATAAACAATATATCAAGGGGTTCCTTGAGATGGTGTAATGATTAGCAAGGTTGTCTCGCTAGAACAATTACGAGTGAGTAGGGAGTTCAATCCTCACTGACTGCCTCATACTTTTGGTCTCGCGCCACAACTGAGCTACGCTCAGAAAATCACTATCTAGGGGGATAACTCTCGATTTTTAGCACTAATAACAAGTTATGTCTATTAACATAAAATATAACGCAGATTAGAAATATAACATAAAGGTACACAAATAAATAAATAAATAGATAATAGGTTGGAACTTTATATACCATGTACTTATAACGGTTAAATTATATATATACACACGTTATAAATTAATCGAGTACAGTAATATTGCTTTGTAGATGTGTATAGGTATAAATGAAAAGTTATAGATAACGAGTTCTGAGAATATTAACAGTTCTTGCATATTAATATTCGTAAAATCTATTTTGCAATCACTTTTAATCAGGGTCGATATTTTTGAGCAGGCTCTTGGATTTGTGAATGCGTATAGACATTAATTTGGACCTCGTGTTCATCAAGTTATGAATATTTAAGTGCTTTAATATAATAAGCTTCTCCAACGAACATAAGTTACATGTCTCCCTTTCCGCTGTATCGCTTACCTTTCGCGATTATCAAGCAGTTAATGGCTGGGTTCATATGGTTGCTTTTTAATCGCCAAACATACTTGTACAGTTTTTGTATTTGGTATTGCTCCGTGTCATTTTGTGGTGGTAGAAACACGATTTCCGCTATTTTCAGTCGATCCAAAGTAATATTTCACATCATCATGTGATTTGATGCTAACTCTGTATGTAATTCTTTCAGTCATGCACTTAATGGGCAGGTTGCGCTTTTACAGCAGTTGCATTGACATTTAGTAGTATTATGTTTTAGTGTTTGGGAGCCAATGCAACATAATATGGTTCAACCCACCACACCACAGTAATGTCAAAACCAGCGTAAGTAGAATTTCCCCGAATTTAATTCATAAAAACTTTGGTCATTCTCCAACACTGAAAAAGATTTTCAACAAAAATAACATTAAGGTAAGCTATAGCTGTGCAAAAAACATAGATAATTACATATCCCAACCTAACAATAATTTCTCATAATAATTTTTTTCTTTTCAGATAAATTATATAAAATCTGCCCGAATGGAAGCCTTATTAATAAAAGCAAAAAACAAACAAACAATAATATCAGCCATGAACATGGACACAATATCTTGACCGTGTTTAGAAAAGGAAAACTTTATATAAATACATACATACAACAAACTATTTCTTGTTAATATATTTCAATCTTGAAAATGGCTAAATGTATGGCCGAAAGCGCTCAGAGAAAAGAATTGCATAAAAACTAAATCAAAGCACCTTGGCAGTCGTATTCAATGAAATGTTCATATATATATATATATATATATATATATATATATATATATATATATATATATATAATTTGGTCGAGGAGAAGGTCAACTCTGAATTCAAAACCTGCGGAGGGTCGTTTGGGGACCTTGTGGCACTTAGTGCACCAGGTCTCTGAATTCAACCCTTCAAAAAGTGTGGATGGTCCTGCACGAAACCTTCACCACTATAATCAAATCTCATGTGCTGTTGTCGGGCTGTCGGTTTTCTTGGAACTGATCTGCTTGACCCTTTATACGTCGAATTCGACGGGAGAGTCGAATACAGTACCAGTATATATATAATATTATCGAACCAAATACATTGTCTCCACATGCTGGTAACATCGATCACATTGAGATTTGTACCAATGTCTCAGACAAAGAATCGTTCTGGCCATTTTTGTCACGAGTCCATGTAGAATTTACATGCAAGTATGCAGACATATATATATATATATATATATATATATATATAGAGAGAGAGAGATAAGCATATATATACAAATGTGCATTAATATACACATACCTATCCTATTTTGTTCATATCTATCTATCTCAGTCTGTTCATATCTATCTATCTATCTATCTATCTATCTATCTATCTATCTATCCATCTATCTATCTATCTCGGTCTGTTCATTATCTATCAATTCTATCTCAGTCTGTTCATATCTATCTATCTATCTATCTATCTATCTATCTATCTATCTGTTGAATAATTCTCGTTAATTGTTCAGCACGAGAATATTTCAGCACACGCTCGTGTGCGTGTATATATATATGTGTATGTATATGTGTGTGTGTGTGCGTGTGTGCGCGCGCGTGTCTGTGCCTGTCTGTATGTATGTGCGTAAACTGGAAATTTTCCTAAAGAATTTGATTTCGTCTGATTTTATGGCATAAGTCGTGTAGTAAATCTCTCCCTTACAGACGTCTGTCGAATGTATAAGTCGAAATGTATCTGTGTAAACTTTGTAAAAATACTTTGATAAGATAATGACCCTTTTCAATATTATAAAAAAATGAACTGAATATATTAAAGAACCTTGTAGAATGCATCAACCGTATTTGTTATAGAGCAAGAGAGAGAGTTGAATTATCTTCAAATAGTTTGAAAAGATTAAGGATTCTTCTCAAAATTATAGAAGGCTGTACTATATCAGGTTGCTTTTCTGGTGTGCACACACAAGACGACAATGTGGTGTTGGAGACAATGTAGTAATATTGTCGACATGATGATAGAGGCGGCGGCGTAATGAAGACAATGGAGTGACGGCAGCGAAGTGATGGCGGCGGAAATGTGGCGATGGCATGCAATAATGATAGCAGCCACAAAAACAAAACAATTGCTTTATAAAACTGCGCAATTTCACGAGGGAAAAAAATCAAGCCGGTGGTGCAGAAAAAGAAAGTTCAATCGCCTGTTAAATGCTTACGTGTGAATCGAGGGTGTTATTGCTCAGCCACTCTGAAACAAACAAAATGGTGCGAAAGAACGCAAGCGAGAATGGCGCATCTTTTTTTCTCTCTCTCTCTTTTTTCTCTCTATCGCTCTTTGTTTTCTCTGTCTCTCATTTTTCTCTCTATCTGTCCTTTTTTCTCTCTGTCTTTTTTTTTCTCTCTGTCTTTTTTTCTCTCTGTCTTTTTTTTCTCTCTCTCTCTGTCTTTTTTCTCCTTATCTCTATTTTTCTCTCTATCTCTCTTTATTTTAACTCTGATTATTCCAGCGAAAAATTTCCAACGAAGCAAGAGGTAGTGAATTTACAGATTATATATATATATATATATATATAATCTGGATATATATATATATATATATATATATATATATATATATATATATATATATATATATGTGTGTGTGTGTACGTGCATGTGTATGCAGTGTGTGCATGTGTGTGTGTGGATAGATATGGGAAAAGGTGCAATAGGCCTCGAGGCATAAATTTATTTGTTTATACAGTTATTTTTTAATCTCTGATTTTAATCAAAATTGTACAGTACGTAGCGTGAATTAGATTTGACAACATTCATCTCGATGTTTCTTCGTGCAATAATAATAATAATAATAATAATATTGCCCAAGGCTTCACACCCCAGTGAATATATCGACAGCCTCTTTGTGGTGAAGAATGGTAGAGGAAAAGAACCAATCAGTATTGAAAATGTGTTCAGTCTTTAATACTGAGACTTCAAAATTCGTTCAGCAGATAAACGGGCGTAACAACATCATGCAACAGCAGAGTAAGTAATACAAGAAAAATTTTACTTATCCATTTTCTCTTACTTTTTTTTCTGTTACTTATTTTTTCCTTTTAATCAGGAGTAGGTACACCTTGTTCAAATTAATTAAAACAAAACAAATAATTCCGTTATTATTTGCTTTTTTCTTATTTTTTTCTCCAATGAAACATGACCCAGTCCACATATTGGTACTTCGTATGTCCGCCTTTATTTTTTAGAAGCGATACGATTTGGCATGGAATCCACTAATATGGAGCAGTCTCCATTGATCTTGGGGTCACACATCTATAAGGGCCGTCACGAAGTTCTCTTTAGTCGTATAGTCCGCGATCTCTCCGTAAGGCTTGCCAGTGCGTTCGTGCAGCGTTACATTTTTCGTAAGCTTCTTTAGTGTAACGTCCATCGCAGACAATGGCCATAGGACAACAAATCGACAGCCGAGACAATAGTGTCTGGGCGTGAAAAAAATCTGATGCAATAACGGATGACGTAATATTTCAAGGCCAAACAAATTTCATCATACACCCCCGAAAATAGATCCGTATTACTATACACGACTACAAATAACCTAATCTGAGGAAAAAATAGATTACACCCTGTCACTTCAGTAGATCTAAAACTGACCGCATGGTGAAAGAAAGGAAACTAAAGCAGTTGTTTCAATTAATTTGCATAAGGGTGCAGGTTCGCCTCTGGCCTGGTTCACACGTCCTCAGTGGTCTTTTAAACAGGAGTAGAGGTTTATCCCTTTTTTCCTGTTTAGGATTAGGTTTTCGGATCCTTCTAAAGTATTGTCATTTCCCTTTAATTCCCAGTTTGCGTCTTAGTGGCTTTATCACCTTGTTTTGGGGTGAAATGATTAAAAATGAAAGAAAACAAACAATGGAAAAGTGGAGAACCGTAAACAAAAGGAAACAGTGTACGAGAACTTAAAAGATACTGATTTTCTAAGCGTAGCTTAGATGTGACACAAGGGCGAAAGTATAAGGCAGCCAGTGAGAATCGAACCTTGTACCACATTCTGTTCACCAGGTGTCAGTATTCGGCTTTTCCACAAAGTGCAGTTTGTTCTGTACATGCCTTCACCACTATAATCAAATTTTATGCTCATGTAGTCTGGCTGTTTGGTTACAAAAACTGAGTTGTTGTACCCTTATAGATTGAAAACGACAAGAGAGTCCAGTATATCTCATTCTGTTTCTATGTCTGCTATTCTCTTTACATATATATATATATATATTCACACGCACATACATACATATATATATATATATATTTATTAAAGACATTTTTTTATGTTTAACGTTGTTATTTATAGATACAAGTATTTAAGCAAATGCTCTGTTTATGATAAACAGTATTAAATCACATTTACCGGCCTGAATGTCCGAGAAATTTTCATAGAAAATATTCGTTCTTTGACAGGATTCGAACCTGCATCCTATACGGAACCGTCATTTACGCTGACGTGCCTTAACCGTCTCGGCCACAAAGAACCTTTCGTTAGACAAGGTCGAATTTACTGCTTATAAACTTCAATCTTCCATGAATCTCGTACATTCATAACTGCTCTGGCGTATCAAATGTAAACAAATGACGTCATATATTAAGAAATGGACAAGGTCCGACAATTTATTTATTAAAGACATTTTTTTATGTTTAACGTTGTTATTTATAGATACAAGTATTTAAGCAAATGCTCTGTTTATGATAAACAGTATTAAATCACATTTACCGGCCTGAATGTCCGAGAAATTTTCATAGAAAATATTCGTTCTTTGACAGGATACGAACCTGCATCCTATACGGACATTCAGGCCGGTAAATGTGATTTAATACTGTTTATCATAAACAGAGCATTTGCTTAAATACTTGTATCTATAAATAACAACGTTAAACATAAAAAATGTCTTTAATAAATAAATTGTCGGACCTTGTCCATTTCTTAATATATATATATATATAGTCAAGTGGACAGAGTGTACGTCTGTGAAATCGGGATATTGAAAGTAACATCAATCAGCTAAATGAGAAATCTTTTACTTGTATTAATTCTCTCTCTCTCTCTCTCTCTCTCTCTCTCTCTCTCTCTATATATATATATATATATATATATATATATATATTAGAGAAAGTAATGAAAATTTCGATGTTCCCATGAAAATACCTAACTATATATATATATATGTGTGTGTGATAGTATTTTTTATATAAGGGAGCGTGAACCGTCATTTGATAGTTGCGAATATTTTCCCTTGGGCATCAGTGATTGATATTCGAAACTTTGTGAAGATCAAGAATTTTGAATCATGTTTTTCAAGACATCCAGCTTCTCTCTACTTGGAAGACTAATGCAACGTAATCTTCTTATCTTCTCCGTCCAGTTCCCTATCCAATGTGACCTTGTACCAAACTACAATTAACTAAATCACAGTGCGTGTGTTTGCGTCTCTATAACTGTGCCAGATTGCGTTTCGAGCATCACTTAATGGTCCAATAAAAACAGCCAGGGATCCGCATCCATTTGCAAATCTAAGTGCCGACTAATCGATCAAGGAACCGATTTGATCCTCGCTAGCCAACGGGTCGAAAGGAAAAGACAAGAAGCCGAATTCAAGAAAGCTGACCAAAGTGTAATTGACGAACAGGTCTTCTTTGACAGATTTGGCAAAGATTGAATGAACGCAGAAAATGTTGCCCAAGGTCAGTCGAATGCTTATAAGAATGAAGGACGAAATGTTAATTTCCGATAAAGTTCGTGTGAAGATGGAATTCGTTGTGCCCTAAGGAAATTTTACAAGAGTGGAAAGCGCAGGGATCTGTCATTTTGTGACTTATCTCCACCTTCTGTTCTGACACGCGAATTCGAGCCAAGGTGGCGCCATTTTGGAATTCTATGGCCTGCAAAGAATCACGACTATAAGATGGCAATAACGGGAATAGTGTCTTTGACAGAAAAAAAAAGTCTTTTGGGTATTATCAAACGATATTGGCACCTACTTATAATAAATCGTAGAACGATGGATGAGATCAAAAATAAGTCGATAGTCCTCCAAGGCAATCTATCCATAAACTATCAATCGGTTTTTGCGATATAAACGAGAGAGACAGACAGAGAGAAAGAAAAACACAGGCACATATAAGTGAGATAAAGAGAGAGAAAGAGAAAGAGTGTGTTTGTGTGTTTGATGTTATTTATGAAGCATCTGTTCGTGAGAAACTAATGTAAAAAGCAGAACAGATTGTACGCACAACATCAGTGAATTGGCCTTTGTAACAAATCTACTAAACAGCATATCTCTGTAAGTATTATCTAATCATCATTTATCTGTCAGAACGCAGGAGATTATCAGTTCAGTTACGTGCCATGCATGATACACGCTTAGGCGATCATGTATCTTTCGATACATGACTGACAAGGCAGATTTTTTTCCCGCAGTAGATAGCCATTTCTTTCTGTGGTAGACCAGCTGCCATCCA